AAAGTGTCGAAACTAATATATATAGGACGAAAGTGAAATAAATCTAAAACAAATATATAAAGGACGAATAAAGTATATATAGGACAAAACTAATACATAAAGTACGAAACCAATCTATATATAGGACAAAAGTAGATTTAAAGGACAAGGGTGATTTATATAGGACGAAATTAATAAATGTACGACAAAACTCATATATAAACGACGAAAATAGTAAAATAGAACGAAAACAATATATAGGATAAAACCAGTATATGAAACTAATATATTTAGGACGAAACTAAAAAATATAGAGCTACACTAACAAATTTAGAACGAAACTGATAAATAGGTCAAGCGCCACCACCTTGACGACAAACCGGCTGTGATGCAGAGCAAAATGTAAAATAGATCGAACAAAAACGTAAAATATAAAGAACGAAAACGTAAAATATATAAGACAAAGCGCCATCTACCGACCAGCCGTGCCGCATGCGCGGCATCTCTTGTATGTTCACAAAAAGCTCGAATTGTCGTTCGTTAGTCGGCCGCTCGAACGCCGGGAACGTACAACCGGTTGTTGCGTGGAACATGGCGGCATCCATGTACGTTCTCTCAGAGTAAACTTTGGAAAGCTGGGCTGAATTCTTTTCTATGTAAAAAGGACCATTCATTTCTTTGCTATGGAAAATGGTTATTGGTAATTTTGTAAAGCTTTCCTTTGTCTCCAGCTTTGTGAGCCGCCTCGCTATTTTTTTTTGCGGCTGTTCAAAAATTAAACTCTCACGAGTTTTTCCGTGTGTTCCTGTAAAACCCTGACGAAGAGGTGGTGTGTGATCCTGTTCCAGGAACAGTGTTCTGGGGTTGTGTTCCCGCCGTTCGAGAGCGAGAATAAGAAATTCGTGTCAAGAAGAGGCCGCCCAAACTCGACCTCTTACACGGACAACACTTTATGCCCCTTTGCACAAACCTATATGAAATTTGTCTGAAAAAAAACCCCTGTTTTCTAAGTAAATGCTTCCGAATTTTCCTTGCTAAAATTTAACTTTTTGGGACAGGTAATCACTTTATGGTGGCTGTTCCAACATTTCAAGCGAAAACTAGGTTGTTCGTAACTCTTATGGAACTCCTTCCCCCAATACTGGATGACACGGTGGACGTCACAACACCACACTTTACTTGTTACACAGATTTGTCGAAACGAGTGGAACTGTGATCCTGAAATATGGCTCAAGAGTTGGGAACTCGAACGTTCGTGTACGAGAAGTAGTTGACAACCTCCTTCAAAGCCCTGCTCTCCAGGAATTAGATGCTACTAGGCCTAATGTTATACCCCCTTGGCAATGGGCCTAGGCCTACTGCTACTAGTAACGTGCTACTCGCGTAATGCCCGACACTGGGCAGCAGTCCCCCTGGCGCCGGAGGCTGACTGTCAATAACGTGGTCAATCACAATCGGCATGATCTGGCAGCAACCGGCAACGTTACAGTGTGGCCTAACCGTGACGAGGGGCTTTCTCGGTTGTTCTGTATGATCCTAGCATTTCGGAACAATATTGAGAAAGCTCTGCATCACTTCGGAACAATTGACAAAGCTCTACATCAGGGTCAGGAGCGACGTTCACGAACCCGGCGGTCGGTAGATGGCGCTTCGTCATATATATTTTGCTCTATATCGCAACCGGTCTGGCGTCGACGGGGTGGCGCTTCGCCCTATTATTAGTTTCGTTCTATATTTATTGCTTTCGTGATTTTTATGTACGATTTGTTGTAGGTTTATCAGTTTTCGTCTCATATAAACCACCTTGTCCTTAAATGCACTTTTGTCTTGATATACATAGACTGGTATCGTACTAATGTATTAGTTTTGTGTGATTTATATTTCCTTTATATATTTGTTTTAGATTTATTTCACTTTCGTCCGATATTATATTAGTTTTGGTATATACATGTATATATTATTTTCGGTTGATTTTTGGTACCAATACAGTCATAAAGGACGCTCCATGCGTGCCGCCGCTTTGGTACATACCCCAATGCGCTCATCAGCCGCAAAGCGTAACCAACCCGGATTCGAAATCCTAACGGTATGATTGAGAGTTACAAACTTGAACCACTTGGCCATATCCCTCGGCAAGATTGTATTGGGAGATTAGGACTAAAGGTGCATTGAGAATCATGTGGGGCTCATAGGGAAAAATCAGGGTTTCTTTGTCTTTGTGGAATCTCAAAGGAGTGATCTTGGGAGTAAGGTGAATGAAGTATAGTTCCTAAACTTCTCCTTCCCTTATTATGCTGCTTCCTCCCTAAGGATCAGACAATGATCAGACTGAAGCCTGCACCGCCACAGCTGTCTAATTGGACAGACACTTGCAAAAGGACTTGCAACTCTTCTGTTCAGCAAATACTTGGGCATATTCGCCATAGCACCTTTCCCAAATACTTTACTCGTAACAAGAGCCGCCCTTGACAGACTCCACGGATAATACGTCATCCCATGCTGCAATATAGCGCCTTGCGTATGGTGTGCTTGATGGTAGGGTGTTTGCGTTAATTCAAATCATCTCATACCAATGTAAACGGGGAAATTAAAGGTCATTGGTCGGCCCTGAAACATGAAACTGATTGTAAGTTAATTGCTGGCCAGCGTCCACAAAAATGCACTGTTTACAGAGAGATACAAACACATTTTTGCCTATAGTTTCATTGGGATTCGTGCAACATTTGATTCAATTTTTCGTACACAAAGAACGGAAAAAGTACCCAGCAATCACGGTGAAACATTATCTCTATTAATTCTAATATACGATAGTGTTAGTGCGTGTAAAGATTCCGAAACTCAGGCCGTGTCTGAAACGGGCTTCCAGAATTACGGCTAGGCCTAGTGTCTGCGCGTCTCCACACATTTCCAATGGAGCGAAGACCTAGACCTAGCTCCAGACAAGAGATTCGGATATGATGTGGCCTCAGTGCAAATAGACAACACTGTGACATATTTCGTAATAAGTATACAGACCCTCAAAAAGGTCAACTTTTTCCAAGATTTAGGAACTAACAAGTAAATATAAGTTTCAGAGGGGTCTAGTCTTTTGCTTACAGTTTTGTTGAACTGAATATTCTCCAGTCTGCTGTTTTCCGCTGTCTCTCAATTGGGTTATTTTCTACCGAACAATAACAATTTACAGCCACGTGGACGGGTACGATGCAACCCAAATGGTAAGCGTGCACCCCAGTAAATAAATTCCCACAAACACCAGTGATAAATCTCCATACACTGTACTTCAAAATTCTTTTAAAAATACAACATAAAATGATGATCAACAAGTCGACTTCAGTTTCATGTTCCTGTCAATTTTTGGTGGGTTGATCAATGACTCTTTAAGAAACTCTCACCTAAAGCAGACCAAAAACGAAGGAAATTTCCCTATAGGAAAGTAACCATTTTGAAACAGCATCTCTCTGCACTACTGTATAAGTAGTGCCACTTTCGGAACCGATCGTATCCAAAATGCTCACAATTGGAAGCTCTGTGAGTCCGAGCCAGATGCTCAATGCCATATTTCTTCATTTCCCCAATTACGTGGCTATCGTGAGTCTGATAATGCCTTGAGTGTATAACTCAGCGGACAAACTTTGGCATATTTACGGACAATGGCAACAGCGCCCTCTGGCAGATGGGGTCTCTATTTTCCCTTTTCTAATTTCTAAGTCAGCAGAACCTTTTAGCAAATGGTGAGAGCTCCCTCTCGCTATCGGGACAAATTATTACTCATGTTGGTTCCAGCTTATGGGCCTCGAACTGGACCAAGAGAGGGCGCTATTTCTTAACAATCATCGCGGAGGGTTGCAAGCCAGTAAATAAACTATCATAGCCAACAGTGATAAACACCTGAACTTCAAAAATTTGGGAAATATACTCACGAGTTTCTCAGGCGTTCGAGATGCACATCAAATTAAAGCCCTTTTTATTGTTAGCTTTGTTTTCAAATTTCCATTCATTAAGCCACGACTTTGAAGTTTTTCCACGGAAGGTCACCCCTAAAAAGCACTCGTGAAGTCCCACGCCAGTTTGAAATATTGATGCTCACACTTCTCGAAAAATAGGCCGTTTTCGGGCACTGGTTTCTTCCAAATCTCAGTCAGACACAAGCTGGTATTCGTTTTGCTCGCTTAAACCTGTCTTTTCTACAAATCTTCAAGTTCACGGGCCACAAAATTCTCTACTTCGTAGCGAGGTTCTGTGCATACAAATTGTGATTTGGCCCGCGCAAGACGTTGTCGGCCTATTTACTGACCTGCAACCGGAGGCTCCTTTGGTACTAACTGCGCATGGCTGGTTCACAAACGCAAGCGTTGCAGTCACATCGCTACCCAACAGATGGAGTATTCACATCCATGTGGCTCTTTTCAACCGATGAGGGAGTGCTTTTGCTCGAGGCGGATAATTTTGACTCTCGTCAAATTCCGTCTCACAGCGGCAGGGGGCCCTGTCGGTTGTCAGAGCTTCGTGCCGTTAAAAACTGTCATGTACATGACGTTCAATTAATCTGATTTGTCAGGGTAAGAACTAGAAAAGAACCAGCGGCCTCCAAAAATGAAGTTATGTAGAGAGCCACAAATGAACTTATTATCCGTTTGACCCGATAAAAGTGATTTATCGTTTTAAAAGTTACAAAATCACATCGTTAGGGAGCACTTGGCGTGGACTTGCAGTGATCTGGTGATCCAGATGACAGGATTTCCAGACTGCATACCCATATATTCATTTCACAGCTTGTATTTCGACTGATCAAAGTTTAGATTGAAAAACGAGTCACGAATGTTTAAACATTCTTGCCACATTTGGAGATTTTGGGACACCAAACTGTATGACCACAAAAACTTGACATGTTTTTATAGCCAAAAAAGTCTCTTTTTCTCATGCACCATAAAATTATTTTTGCTAATTTAATTGTTTACAGAAGTTAGACCAGGCGAATTGATCATGAACATATTATTCCAAATAAGAACAACTCTCGCATATTGGTTTCAATGAATATATCAAGGCTTTATTCTGAATAATAAATTTGTTTTAAAATGAACTTTTAGAGAAAAGTGAAAATTACTAAAAATTCAAAAATGTATCAATATTATTTGAAAAAATAAGACGCGTTTTCTATACATACATGTTACAAATATTGAAGGCGAGAAAACTGCCGGTCATTAAATTTGCAATGATCTGATTTAATATGCCCTCACATTTCAACACCATAAGCTAGTCCGGCGTTTCAAAACCTAAAGCATTCGAGAACAAAGCACGCGGATGTATATTAACATGTCCAGCAGTACTTGCGAGTCAGATGGGGCTGCGCTGATAAGGCCGACCACGCGCCAACAATGGCGGTGCGCATGCGCTGCGCTTCAGAGGGGTATCGAGACGTTAATTTACAACATACATGTAGGCCTTTGTCTTACAGCAGCTTTTGAAGAGCTTTAGGCACTACTTTTTACCTTGTTCTTTAATGTCAATTCTGTAGCCAACTTTTCTAGCATATGAAAGGATTTGGTGCAATAGCCCGTCTTTCAATGTTAGCTTGTTAAAGTCAAAGAAAAACGCGCTGACAGAGAAGGGATATGAAAAAATAAGGAAAATGGCCCATTAGTTGCGGCAAATGCGGGGAAGCTTTACTTTCCTTTAGATTTAAAATAATCACCAAATAAAGTGAAGTTACACTGTACATGCAGTGCACGTCTCGATCCACTCCTGAAGCTTCGGCTGCGTATTTTTTGCGCAAAGCGCGATGTCCTTTCCAGTCTTAAATTAAGAACGGGTTATCAACGGCTCGCAGTTACCTTTCACAGTGATCGAGTCCGCTGCGTGTGAGTATATCACACACTTGTATAACGTATAATCGCAAATTTCATCATATTAAGCCGATGATAATTGCTTGTTATTTTGACAACACACTTTTGTCACAAAGGTGAACAGCAACCATTGGAAAAGAAATGATAAATTGTCCGTGCTATATACATACAACCTCAAGTCAAATAACATGCAGCTAGCTGTCAATAAATAGGAGTAAATAACAATAATACTCTCATTAGCTGTTTACACAAATGTAACTGCATTTTGAAATACAATAATGATTAATACTAGACAAATATATTTGATTGATATTTGAGATATTAACAGACAAGTTCAGGTTCCACACTGTTAAATATTTACAGATGACACACATCATTTGAAGCTTCGAAAATACTTTCAAGAGTATTTCGACGTATAAAATGTGGCACAGATTTAAATCATAAGCACAGGAAATAAACGCAGTTAGTATATTATAGCAAAAGTAGGGTTATTAATACAAAAAATCTCAGGAAATAAATCGAACGCACTGTGAGTACAGTTTTACTTCAACTCTTTATTTTTGAAGTTGAGCCCTTCTGTTACTTTTGTATTACGCAGCTTTCAATGCGGTTTTTCTAAAAAGAAAACGGACTTCATTCATTCTTCCGTTGACTTTTACCAACATATATTTCAAACACTGAAGCATCAGACTTATTTCGTGGTAGGTTACTTTTTGAACCCCATGAAGAGGTAAAACGTACGTTTTAAAAACGTTCAAGCAGGTTGAGAAACAAAATCATCAAGAATCAGCGAAATCTTGTTCTCAGTTAACTAAGCCGTCCTTCTTTAATCAATCATCACATGATCTTGTTTCAATAAATCTATCCTTTTTCTAATTGTTTTAGTGCTCTGTTATCGATCATACCCACTACAACCAGATTGATAAGAAACTGACAAAATCTGCGAATACTGATTTAATCAATTAAAAAGATAGTATCCTTCCAGTTCCTAAAGTCTTTTCTAGTAATATGAAACATTTCCCTGGTCACTCTTCATATTGAAGCTTCTTGTACTAAGTTCCTGCGGGATCATTTATCTGAGATGGTGGCACGAGCGTTTTGATGTGCTAAAAGAATGACTGACGAACCCTTTTTTACTCACCAGCCTCGAAACATCAGAAATCTGATGTCAGTGCAGCCTTTCAGTTTTGTTTCAAACCACCACTCCACCCGAACCAGCTGCGGATGAGCTAACCGGAGGCTCCCGGTTTACAACTTCACTTAAGGCACTGCAGACTTCGACGTCCTTCAGTTCTGCTTCAATGTCGACGTCAAAGTTCAGCAGGGTCGGGTCAGAGAACTCCATCATTCTCTTAGAGAACTCCTCGAACTCCGACGGGTCGGATGACGGCTCCTCCGAGGAAAAGATCTCGCTGTGCTTCTTGTTGTTCCCAAAGTGGAACCACTTGTCCATCCATGCGGCCACTTTGTCCACCAGGGGTGCTGTTTCTTCTGGCGGCTTGGCCAGGGGCTCCACAGTCAGTAGCTCGTGGTGGGAGTTTTTCCTCCCCGCTTGCCCGCTCTTCCCCTGCTCCGATGCCCCGGTTACGCCCGGTCCAGCCTTGATCCTCTCCCGCAGTCTCTCGCTCTTGATGCACCGGCTCCACGACTCGAAGGCCACCCTGAAGGCTTTGAGCAGGTAGACTACCATGGCACGGGCGAGAACGGGGTCGCGGCAGAGGAAAGCGTGGCACACGAACACCTCTGAGGAGGACGCCTTCACGGACTTCAGTGCCTTGAAGTCCTCCACGTTGTTCCCCTTACAGTTCACCGGGGCGCCGCTGCAGTTGCTGCCGTTCGCGCTGCCGGTCGCGCTACCGTCACCGCTACCGCTGCCCCCACTGTCCTTATCCTGCCTGTTCGACTTGTTGATCGCACCATTGGGACGGTAAGTCGTCACAATAGTAAAGACGTTCTGGTACTTTTTGTCTGCGGCACCGTACGTCACTGAGTAGATCGGAATGAAGGTCTCTCGCCCGTTACCCTGGCCGGACTTCTCGGTGACCCATATCCCGCGGCTGGAGATGGTCAAACTGACCGTCTGGAGTTCCCGGCCGTGAGCCTTCTTGACCAGGTCTTCCACCACGTTCTTGGTACACTCCCGACCCATCTTGGTCTTGGTCAGGCTTCGGCCCAAGTAGTGCACGTCGAAGAACGGCAGTTCGTTGTTCAATTCCAACTGGGCCTTCTTTTTTCCCTTTCGACCCAAAAGGCCCGCCATTATGAAGCTCTATTTTCAAGCGTATAGTCTACGTTTCCTCGATCATCCCTGAAATGAAAACATTCCATGCCAAAAACTTTTTTATCATCTCTTTCAACTTCATAAACAAATGAAATATATTTTTTTGTTAAATTTGAAATTATTGTTAAATGCAATTTTTTTTATTATTGTTAAATGCAAATTTTTGTTCAATTGACTTTCAGTATTTGTGATTTTATTGTAGTGATTTTTTAAATTGTAAGTTGTTCGCTTATTCAGCTTTCAACATTAGCAAAACAGTAATGCCAACACACTCTAAAAACTCCCGGGTCAGATTGACCCAGAATTGGGTCCCATTCGGCGTAACCCTTTTCCAGATCCAAATATGACCCCCTTTCGGGAATGGGTCATATGTGACTCTTTCTGGGTCATAATTTGACCCGGAAAAGGGTCACGCCGAATGGGACCCAATTTAGGGTCAATCTGACCCGGGAGTTTTAGAGTGCACGTCATACTATTCAGTGTCATGACGTTGGGTGCCGCAAATTTCCTTTCGATGATTGCTTATTAAAAGGAGAAAAGAGACCTATGTTTTTTGATTATTTCATTCTCATGGTCGGTCTATCATTGGAAAACCTGCGTCGAAACTGTTGCAGGGAAGATCACCTATGTCAACCCACAACAAGGTTGCAAGCCAGGATCCAAAAATTGCCTGCGCCGACAAAATCAACCAGAAATTGCATGCTGTCAAATTCTCTGCTATCAAAGCATTCTGTGGACTGGAGGGTATGTAAACTATGAAAGGTGCAGGCCACAAATAGGAATGCCAGCTTCTATTCCCGCCCCTTTAAAAGTCCTGTACGAATTGATATATCATGAACCAATTTATCTTGTACCCGAGTGACGGTCGTAAATATGGGGGCTTTAAACGCTTTTTACGGGATAGCACCAAAGCTTAGTTCTGCTGTGTCAGGTATACAAGCTTTCTCGCAATCCCTTTTTCACGCTACAAAACCCACAACAGCCTCTCACTAATCCATTCTTAATCAAATCAGACCACAAACATGACCAAACAGTGGTTCGGTGAAGCAGGATAATTTGCCCGTTCACTCTCAGATCCCTCAAGGACGGCAAGGTCATTTTTATGAAGGTCTAAAAATGGCATTCTCATATATTATGGCGATCTCCCACGGGAAGTTGGAGGAAACAAGGACAGAATTTCCTGTCAAGCCGTATTTCTAAATAATGTTCAGCGAAAAATCCCCTTTGGCAAAGACCGTGAGAACATCAGTGTATGTTGGGCATTTTTCTTTTTGCAGTGAACGTCTATACTCAGTTTATTTGCGACCCTTTCAATGTTCCTATTTAGACGTTTTGTTTGGGGGCGTCAACAAAAGCACTGAGCCTGCTTCCCCTAAAGGTCAGCCGCCAGTGCTCTTTAGCGCGAATGGGTTGTGGAATGCTGTTTTTATTATGTTCTGAAAAGCCCCGCGTCCACCCATCCGTCATGCTGTTCTATTGGTGTGGTCGTTGGTTAGTTGTGTAAGCCTGGTATGTTCGCATGCACCCAATTATCTAGTTCTTCATGTACTTAAAAGGTTGATACAGTGTCTTTATTTTGCCACAGCCCTGGAAAATGTGTTTCAATCTACCTCATTGTCAAGTTTGTAGTAGTATTTCAAACAGCATTTTTTATAGTCTTTTTATGCTAAAGCAAATTTGATATTCATATTAAGCAAAACTGTGATGTCATTTCAGGGAGAAATCTACGCTTTTGCGCTGATTTGTGCTAAAAAAATCTACTGGAATTTTAATTTTCTTTCCAAATTTCCTTTTCTGAGGGGATTTGGTTTGTGTATGGCAATAAACCACTGAGCAAACCTTTCTAAGACACGTTTTCACTGGTAAAATACATGTAAGTTTCGCCTTTTGCACAGAAAAGCAGATACACTAAAACTGAGTGTCTTAAGTTTCCAGCAAAGCTTGAACTATTGTAAATGTTTAAAATTATGCACTTCACGATATTCTTCATCCACAATGATGCCAACCTGTTTACCAACATTGAATTGGAATGTCTGAGAAAAATCCATTGCATAGACCTGTTTACATTTCTTTCCCGGCGAAGTGAAACACACTGAAGGACGTACAAAAATGATTTGCAAGGAAATGTTGCGGCCTGAAGTAAATCCGAGCGCTGTAGACAGAATCAATTAACCCCTTAGGGTGTACGTAAATCGTATTGAAATCGGAGAATTTGGGACTGTTAGGGACAGCTAGAAGCTACCTAGTGATGTACACAGCTGTCCAAATTGCCCTTCCCATTTATATAGGGGGGGGCTCAATGTTCATTTTTTTCTACTTTTCATGCCTGTATGGAAAAAGAAAGCATAAAATTACCGTATGAGGCGGGTTGACGAATTGAAATATGAATTCGCAGCAAGACGTTACGATAGGGACGGCATTTTGTTTCAAAGATTGGTGGTATGGTCGACAGGCAATCTATGCACCGTGTAGCCCCCCCCCCCCAAAAAAACCGGGTATAGTTTCTTTGCTAAAACTGCCACACAGATTCTTGTCATTTGATTGGTGGAACACGCATCACGTGACATTCACAATTCCTGCCATTCATGCTGCGTCAGGTACTACTCGCCCAGGTGCGGATGGTGAAAACTATACTGCGGTTAACGACATCCTTGTATCCACGACATGTGAATGGCCTCGTCCCTCAAAGGGCAGCGCGAGCGCAACATGCAGCACTGATTGAAACCTAGGGGGAATAAAATTTGGTCCGGAAAGTTACTGGGATTTGAAATTGCCTGAAATTTATTTCAAGATAAATCAAACGACAAGGATCTATACGACAGTTACATAACACGAGTGGAAAAAACATTCATTAGTATGGGAACAGGACTTGACGTATTTCGCCATTATCTGAATCAATGGGTACGGCGGCTATTTTACAAAAGTATCGCCTTGACTTTTCTCATGAAAGGAGAAACGACACAATCTGTTCGAGTAGTAAGCGTCAGTATTCGATTTTAACCTCACCTGACCTTTCTTGAAACTTCAGCAATACTGAAACAACCACACATGGATAATATGAATAAAACAAGATGGCGGCTATATTTTCTTTAAAGTAGTGTTGTTCAGCATTATGTGGAATGGGAAGAGTTCGGTTCAGATTCATGCAGTGGAGTCCAAAGTGTGGGATGTGGTTAAGATTACAAACTGCTGCTAAATTTAAACAACCGTTATTAACGTGACTCAGACTTTGTATAATGGACACACTCTCTGCAAAAGAGTGAAAACTCACCCTCGGGAGGAGCAAATCCTTTAAATGTACCACTCCAAAAGAATGGAAACCACTCTAAAAAGAGACAGTATCACTTAAAAAAGAGCAAAATATTCAGTCTTTCTGGAACCATTTAAAGGACAACTATGGCTTCTCTTTGAGTAATTTTTATTCTTTTGAGGTAGTTTTCACTCTTTTCTAGAGTGGTTCTCACTCTTTTCAAGTGGATTTATGAGGGATGCACTCCTTTCAAGAGTGAGTTTTTCATTCTTTTGCCTTTAGAATGCACACCAGTAACGTTTGTTAGTTAAACATTACCGTCTGCGTTTTCACAAACCAAAAGCAGCCAGTTGCAATTTTGGTATCAGCGCTTCCGAAAAATCGAAGAAAACTGTCTCACTTGCAGCTGTCATTTCGCGAGAAAAATAGAGCAGCCATGTTGATATTAATATGCAGACCGGTCGATAATTTCTACCACACGTGTCTGACTCATTTACAAGCCATTTTGACGTCGCTCATTTGCCGGGCCTGCTCTGGGACAAAACAAGTTGATGGGGAACCTATCAGTTTTCATGACATATTCTGACCACACCCCGAAATAATGCACGGTTGCATTATTTCTGTTACTTAAAAATGCAAACAATAACAACAGGACGAAGCACCTCTCATGATAATTTTCTGCAAATTACTAGCCCTGGCATTTTCTAACTTCAATTACGTGCTGCCTGAATTCGAAAAGGAGTGATGATTAAACAAGTACACTGTAATTAAATTCACTGGCGAACGAATGCGTATGTGTCTTGTTAATGATAATGGAGGTCTCGCAGTAATACATGTACATAATACCCTTATGATGTTACTGAAATTGACCGTTAGGCTCACTACGAGGTGCCCGCACAGAAAACTAATGGACCAACGGCACAGCAGCAGTTGTAATGGACGGGAGATGTACATGTATAAATTACGTAGCCAGAATTTGATTGAACGGGCCATAGCCATGTTACATTAAACCCCATGACGGACCTGTGACATGACACCTCGTATGTGTTTAATGTTGGCTTTTGTATATTCGTAACATATACAGTTTCACTGTCAGACTGTATTGCAGTTTGCAGTATAAAATGACATTTAGTACGGAATGTGCCAAGCCACTTGGGTGGATTTGGCATAACTAGACTCATTGGTTACGGCAGTAACAGCACATAATATTCAGCTCTGCCCTCGAGAATCAAACTTCATGTGCAATGGAACCCGTAAAGCAGTGGCCCTATTAATATGATCTACGATCATTTGTAAAACATGAAAGCTTACCAAGCGGTCCGGCGTCTTGATCTCCGACACGAGGCGAGCAATAATGGCGATGCTATGTCGGAGGGTTATTCTTTCCTTATGCTGTCGACATACCACAATTCAGACTAGAATTGTGACGAAAGCCTGCAATTCTGGAATCGTGTAGCAGTTGGAGTAGGTTGTCCAGATTTCAAACGGGGCGGTACACTCAGAGGTAAGGGGTTCCATGTGTGGTTGTGAGAGGATGCGGTCTTCACATTGGCAGCTGCACTGTCCACTCATACTTCCATGTTAAGAGCTATTGATTCTGACTGCGCGCCCCACCGTGTGTACATACTTCGTTATGGCGATTCGAAAGCCTCTACACTACGTGGCATTCGATGGGGGAGAAAAAAATTAGATGGCTGTCTTCACGGTCGGCTTACTATGGTGAATTGTCGCGCTCCCAGTGACTATTGTGCTTTCAGCCGTTTTATACCTTGATGACGGTACGGTAGGGTTGACTGCTATATAACCCCAGTGCGAGATATTCATGCAAGATATGTCGGGCAAGGGGAAGTTAAAAAAAAAAGAAAGAAAGAAAGCGTGACGTGGGAAAGGGCCGACGTACTTTTCTCTCCTGTCAAAAAGTTCATTCCTTGAAATCTTGCAAAAACAACTACCACTGTAAACGTCAGTCTGCGTATATTTGTGGTAGCCCTTGCCGTTCAAGCATAATTTCTCCCCTAAAGTGAAGAACAATCAAGCTATGCAGCTGTAGAAATGAGTTCGTAATCGCTCGCTTGTTGCACTTGTGTTTCGATCAGACCATAACTGAACACATTGGCACATTCTAACACATAACTGATCAGAGACGACTTCAGCTATGTTTCATTCCCAATGGCCCCCCTTTAGTGGCGGAAATTGGCATTGGGATTTATGACTGTCGCAGCCTGCATCCTGCCATTGACACGGGCACTGTGTAAATGACCAGCAATGGAATTTCGTTACCATGGTCACACTTCATGTATATAACATAAAGTAGTGGCGATGTGCTTTGACACTTTTGATTTAAACATAATAGTCTTGTGCAGAGTAATAGCGTGATATTGAACTTCATCTCACTTTGTAACCCTTTCTGTACACGGCAAAGGAAAAAAAATGCAATCTCAGAAAGCCACGGCAAATCATCCAGTGTACACTTAAATGCATTTCACAAGCCATTGTGATAGTGTCGAATTGCTTTATATAGCGCCCCCTGCTGACAGGTCGTTGGCACTGCATGAATCCGAAGACGTTCGGTATACATGTACATATGTTCATGTACAAAGTGAACAAAGTGAACCTCATTGATTTGATTTGTTTTGATTTATTCACTATTTCCACACAATATTATTACATAAAAATAAATTAAAGAAAAGCAAACTCAAAGATTCCCAAGAGTAGAAATATTACCGGTAGGGATGACGCAGTTAAATTAAAAAGTTAAATTAACTTATTTCCATTGCGGTCCCAATTTCCATCGGTAATCATTATCGACACCAATAGTCACACTGACGTCGAAAAAAGTCCATGCCAAGTTATAATTATTATAGTACAAAGCGGTACGTGGCACGGGTGAAAATTAGTCCCTCCTGCTTCTTGGAATCAAGCAGGTTTACAAACTTTGAAGACATTATGCCGGGCAAGGTTTGCAACACCGTCCCATTAACATTGTTGACAAGTTCCGTTGTTGAAAATGGTTGTGTGACTGGCGATTATTTAATCTGGGCAGTGCACTACGTATTAAAATACCTGATGCGTTATTTTAGTTCTTGAAAGATTATGCAGCAAAACACGCAAGCCCCTCCAACCGTTGCCCTGTTCATTTGTGACCCGGTATATTAAAAAAAAAAAAAAGTTATTGGATGTGTCTGGAAGGTGATACCAATATACACTTGAACAATTAAAATTCAACATTGTTCATTTAAATGCCACAGCTTTCGGCAGACATTGTTTTTTGTTTGTTTGTTTGTTGGGTTTGTTGGGGGTGTTGGGGTGTTTGTTTGTTTGTTTGTTTGTTGGGTTGTTGGGGTGTTT